GATAAATATTCAAAACATTGATCTCGATGCGCATCGCACAGAATAAATAAATACTCATAGATATTTATAATAAAGATTTATAAAGATTTATAAATAAAGGATAAATATTCAAAACATTGATCTCGATGCGCATCGCACAGAATAAATAAATATTTATAAATATTTATAATAAAGATTTATAAAGATTTATAAATATTAGTGAAAAATATTTATAAATACTTATTTATTGTGTGCGATGCGCATCAAGATCGACCCTACCCTTGGTTTACCCATAGGATACAGTGTATATATGTTACGATATCCCAGCACACCACAGTGGTATAAATTACCTGATTTTAAAAATAATCATCAAACAAGTCGATGAGCATGGTCTTAAACAATGACGAGAGCAGCTCTTAAGTTTTAAGTGTTTTGAAGGAGTGTAAAGTATCATCAAATCTTCTTGGGGGGCTTGATTTCGTGCACTTGACTTATCTTCTTAGACGATTAGACTAATATCGGATCAAGATCACAGTTGATGATATTGCACGTTACATTTGTGCTTTCAGTTGGGCTGATCGACAGAACCTCCCAAAACATGTCGTTTTGCGTTAAACCTATCACAAATTCAATATCATGTACCGCTCATAATCCTATGATTTGAGCTGCCAGTTTACTGCATAAACGGCAATATTTCAAGCTCAACTAGTTCACTACAACGAGTAAGTAATGCTTTGTAAGAAGATTGACTGGCATCAATGACCGCGTAGAGAGACACATGGCAAAAAGACTCTTAATTAGTTCTTTTTTTAACGACTGAAAACACTCGCGAAGTATTGGCCCTTTTTATAATTGTTCCGCCATCAAAGGTTGTTTAAGAAACACCATGTCAAACAGCTATCTGTCTATGTGATTAGGAAGCAATAATCATAGTAATTACACTGATATGGTCATGTGAAAAATGTCTAGATTACACTTTATTATATCTGCATCTTGTTCTGTAGGATTTTTTGAGTCCAAGTTGATTTCCAGTCTAATAGTTGCTGTATAAATCGTGCTCGTTTAAGCCTGGAAGCAAGGAAGCAAGGAAGCAAGGAAGCAAGGAAGCAAGGAAGCAAGGAAGCAAAGGAAGCAAGGAAGCAAGGAAGCAAGCAGTATACGGCAATATGAAATAAAGAAAGAAAGAAAGATTGATAAAAGGAAAGAAAGGAAAAACCGAAGGAAAAGAAAAGAAAAGAAAAGAAAAAGAAATAAACGAAAAGAAAAGAAAAGAAAAGAAAAAAAATTTCAGTTAGCTCGTTAATGGCAAGATACACGTGCAGCTATGACAAAATTTTAATGAAAAATTTTAATCAACATTTTTATCAGTATTGCTGTCACTCTTAGCAGATTATTATCAGTTTTAGTGATAAGTACTGACTAGCCAGCCTCGCTTTTTTGTCATTTACACTCCATTAACTTCTACTGAAAAAAATTTTTTTTTGTCCCAGAATTTCCAAAGAATTCTTATTTATATTATCTTCTCTCTTCAGAAATGTTTTATTCCTATCGAGGCATTAATTTTAGAAAACATGTAAAAGCGGCCATTAGAAGCCAAGCGGCCATATTAAAGAAACGATAATGACCGTTTATTACGGACAAACCTATTTTCGGAAACTAACCATATTGGATAATATTTTACAGCAATATTCATCATTGTATTCACTAGGGGTATATGCCATTATCCGTGCTTGAGGAGTCTAAAAATATAAACTTGTTATCCATTAAGAAATAGCATTCTGGTGACCGAAAATGAAATTCCAATAAAAATACGACTGAAGATATGCAATAACTAAGGTAAAATGATTAACGAGTTTTTAGGTGACACCTTTTTTTGTTTAAACAAACTGGTAAGATAAAGGGGCGAGCCGTTAACAAATATCTAGCGATAGTATGTTTTCATATTCATCATTCTGATGAAGTCTATCACTAGTTTTAGCCGATTTCTAGTGGTATAGTTTTCATCTTCTACAAAAAATTTTGAGATTTAAGTAAGTTTGACTGAGAAAATTTATTTTTCCAGGTAGGAACTTTAGATGGGTGACTGAATCATTACCACATTAATTTTTGAATAGATTATAACCATAATTTGATAGCATATACATATTAATCGGTAACGTTTCACAAGATAACGAGAAGACTTTACCTCTTCGCCTAAAGCGATCAATTCTATGGCCGATTCGGGGGTGTATAGTCTCCCTCGCATCCGTTTTTAGTGTCGGTCGTCACGCAACGCTAAAAACGGATGCGAGGGAGACTAGGGGTGCATGAAGCTTACTTTTTGGACAAGGGTTTGCTCTTAAAACGTGGGAAACACAAAATAATCTCTCTGAGAATCTAGAGTTATCATTTTCTTGTGATCTCAACTCACAATCCTAGATCCGATTCCGATCTATTGCGTGCGGAGTGTTGCGCAAAATTCCATGTAGAAATATTTTATAGTCAGGGCAACCACGCGACGAATTATCACGTCTTTTTGGGGTAAATTTTATTACCATCGTGAAAGAAGAAACAGAAATAGAAACAGAGGCAGTAGTAGAAGAAGAAGTAATATATCAAACGTATATGAAAAATTGTTACATCCGATTTCCAAACGCCGAGAAGTTACCGTACGGTAGTTGAAAAAACAGAGCGGATCCGAGTTTTTTTACACAAAGAACTTCGAGGTGTTTGGATAGAGGATGAAAGAATCTTTCAAGTGCTTGATATGGCTTCTCAAACTATAAACAATATTTGGACTTCGAATTATTTGAAAACGTAACCCCGCTCCTATATGTTTTGAACTTCTACGTGTTTGCGCCATTATTCAAGATGGCCGCCGTACCAGTAAATGAGTTGAAACAGTAGAGAGTTTTAGATTGACTTTTTTTCTCCCCGCAAACGCCAAACGTGACCACGTTTTCATCGTTTTCCTGTACTTTACTTTACCTTTTACAAACCTTTTCACTAAAGACAAATATTCTTTTGTTTTTCTACTACTTGGACTTTTTTCCAATACTTTTTAAGCTATTTAAAATAATTTTTAAATGGTCAACTGACGTTTCACGTTTGCCGTGAACGTAAATCTAAAACTCCCTAGTAAGAGAAAGGCTCCATTCACACATCGAACTTTTGACGCGTCGACTCTGATTGCTCTTTAGGACAATATACAGTAAGATATCGACTTTTTTGGCTTAGCACAAGAAGATGCCATATGTTAGTTTGGTATACACCTATTTCCTACAACGTTGTCGTGGTCCGAGATCTCGGAAATTAGTGATCTTAGACTAAACAGAATTTTTAATTGGTGCTTTAATCATGATGCTTTCTGGCTAAAATACGAAACATCACATTTTTTAATCAAAGATCATGCTTCATATTCTAATTTAAAAGAAAACTACATTCATTCGGATCATATTTATTAAATTTATGGTTGATAAAACAAGCTATTATGAATGTAACAACAACCAACAAGGAACTATTTGAAAACTACATTGTTTGGCTGCGAATAAATAACAATTTGCAGCTTAGTACTCAGTCAGTCTCACATTTTAGATCTTAGACCCTCTGACTGACAACGCCTAAGTGCATACATACTTCTAGAAGCTTCAAGGAAAAACGGCGCTCGGCGGACTCATAGGCAATTAGATTAAAATAACAATGATTAGATAACATAGAAAAATAGAATGGAAAAAACAACAAATTTCCTATAACGTGCATTTCATAGGCGTCTCTGAAATAATTACTATTATTATTATCAGTAGGAGTCTGCATATTTAGGCACTATTAGGCACTTTCTTTCTTTCTTCCTTTCTTTCTTTCTTTCTTTCTTTCTTTCTTTACTTCTTTACTTCTTTCATTCTTTCTTTATTTCCTTCCTTGCTTCCTTCTTTCCTATCTTTTA